TAAAAATGAAACAACTGCGGAAAAATTGTGTCTGAATGTATAACCCCGGTTTGGCCTCCATTATTTCTAATTATAATTTTTTTTCTCTTAATTTTAATCACACAATCTTTTATAAAATAATATTATACGTAAATTGAAATTTTTTTCTTTTTCTCAACCACACATTTTTGAAAAAAATATTATTCCAAAAATTATAAATTGAAATAATGGAGGTCAAACTGGGTTAAAACTCGTTAACTAAGGTATTTCTAGAAGCTGAGGACGCTTGATGAATCCTATCGGTCCACTTGTTGAAATCTGATGAGTTTTGGAAGGTAATGAAGTTAATCAAATAATATAATTAAATTTATTATTTTTTTCTAAAAGATATACCATTTTTGACCTAACCATAGCCCAACACCTGGCCCGGTATTCAACAGCACACGTTCGAGGACTTTCATCCAACAGTCTTCTCCTATGAAATTGGATTTCTCACAAATGATAGTTCCAACTATTCAAGTTTCAAGAAACTTACTTTAATATTTAATTTTTTTTTATTCGCCTGAAATTAATTTTGAGATAATAAAATAATTTACATGTAAATTTAAATTTTATCTTACTTTTTAATTGAACATTCTGGAAAAAAAAATTATTATTACAAAATTCATTTTAACATAAAATGGGGCTTGAACAATGGCTCAGTGAATGAAAGTCTTATCATTTAAATCAAGATTTAACAGCAAAACTCTACTACTTTTATATATTGAGAGTATAATTTATGCATAATAATAGACGCAAACATAGTAGGCTCCCGTATTAAATTTTGGAGTTTCATCTTAAAAAGTAACCTTATTAAGGGCCCGTTTGGTAAGAATTTTGAGAATTGATTTTTTGATCGTTAGAAGAAAAGTGGGGTCCACATGTAAGAGAAGAAGTCAACAATTATGGCTTGAATAGTAAAATAACTGTCAAAAAATCAATTTTTTGGGGCAAAAAATTCCTACCAAACGGGGCCTAAGATAAGTAATCAAAATACTTATTTGTTAGTCTATATATTCATCTTTATTTGATATGAAATTTTATTCCTTAACGTAACTTCATAATATGAAGATTTGCTTGAGTAAGCCCCCCAGGGTACTTCTCTACTGGCAAAGGACGGGCTCTGTCAAATCTGGCAGATCAGAGGTCGTGAGTTCGATTCATGGGGCTCTTGGAAGGCAATGATTTATTCTTGGAAGGCAAGAGAAATTTTGGAAGGCCAGGATTATTCTTGGAAGGCAAGGTGCAACCTGGATTGACTTGCTTGGCACTTTGGCAGATCAGGTGGGGAGGGCTCGGACCCTGGCTAGTTGGAGGCACATCCCGCGATTAACTGGACTGTATGAAGAGGGGCCGGATCACAGACCCAAGGATTAGTCAAGAATTG